TACTAATCATACTAATATAAAATTTACATTTAACCCTTGAGTTTCACACAAGTGGTTTAGGTTAATATTTTATATAATCAACAGTGTGATTACTGAATGCTGCTTGGAACCAGGAGATAAAACAAAACTTGAAATAGTAGAGTTATGAAGCAAATTGTGGAATCCTGAAAACTGGTCACTTTTCTGTTAATCCATCCCTTTTGAAAATTCCCTGTCGTGCAACTTCAGCTGAAAATGAATAAATTAGGAAAATATTGCAGGTAATATGTCACAGATCCATCAATTTTAAATCACAAAATGACAAAACAAAAGATCTTTTAAGGCCCTTTTTGAGGTGGCGCACCATCTGAGCCCATTAAATCCTGCAGGTCTTTCACATGCTCGGCTCCTAACCTCCTAACTGGCTACTGTGTTAGCCCAGATTGGCTCGCTAACAGATTGACTGGGAGTGTTTCTCATAAGAGACAGCTGCTGTTCTCGCCGCTGCATGACACTGTCGTCAAAGACTATCATGGCTTGTTGATTGACAGCAGCTGGAACGGCACAGGGGCCGGGTGGCTGATGTTGCGGACGAAGACAGTCAGGCAAGAAAAAATGTAAAAAGAAAGACATAAAGTCCTTTAAAGTTTTTTTTTTTTTGTAACTTATAAGCTGTTTCAAGTTGTTACATCCACTGCAAGTCAAAAGGGATTGTTAGGCTTGGAGTATCTGTGTCATTTAACCAACACACGCTGAATTAGGTCTTGGCTTCTTTTTCTCGCTCTCCAGGTTGATGGCCACCTGGATGTTTGAAATATTGCTTCATTGTGCAAGCTGAGGCGCTTTCCCAGGAGGGGTTAGGTTTACCAATGGCCACACTGACTCCCTAAATGCACAAGGGTTTTAATAAAAGTCCCATAATGATGCAGTGGGAATCAAAGTCAGTGAGTGCACTCTATGTGTGTGTGTGTCTGTGTGGGTGAGGGTCAGCGAGGAGGACAGCATGATTGAAAACTGCAGTCGCCCATCTCATATGATCCCTGTAGTCCAGCCCCAGACTCAGGCACAGACTGATGGGAAAAGAAAGACCCTCTTTTTATTCCTGAAAATGTGGGAGGTAGCTTTGCTCCGAAAAGTCGGGCCTCAGGAGAAGAAAGGTGTGTTTTTGTCTTTTACGCAGGGCTTCTCCCGGTGAAAGTGGTCTCGCTCTGCGGCGCAAACTCATAGCAGGTGGCCTCGGAGCCACCTGGGGGTCCCGGGGATTCGTAAAGAACTGCAAATCGCTTGAAAAGAAGGCAAACTAGCAAAACTTTTCTTAAAATGCAATAAGGCAGCCCGTGTTAATACAGCTGTATAATTTAAAAAATGTTGGGCTATTTTGAACACAAACAAAATTAAACTCGCAAGTAATAACCAGCAAACTTTTATCACTTAAACTGTGCAAAGTAATACATGAGGCAGTGTGTAGGTTGTTAGTGCATGATATTATTTTTTTTCCTGCCATTAGGCAACCCTGTAAATAGGAAAGTGTGCCAAGGCTGAGAAACTGCTAAATTACCTTCCTCACTTAGGCTGGAATCCAATTATCAATAAATTAAGCTCTCATACTGGATGGAGCCACGAGATTATATTCATTCTTTAAATGTTTTTTTGCTCCCAATTAAAACTTGTGCTGTTATTGATCTTGTTGATTTTAATGTCTTGAAATTTGCATAATCTATTAAAGATGAATGATTAATGAAGTGCTCAGTTTTGCATTCCAGGAATCCTATACAGCGAAAGTAAAGCTGGCCGTGTTTTGTGTCCTTTATTTAACCTATGTGAGATAGAGACGGTTTCTGTGGAGGGAGGACAGCTAAGATAGTACTTGTTTGTGTGTATTTAGTTAATGAGTACTGTTAACTGTTGTGTCCATAGATACATGTAATGATTCACTTCAGCTTTCTGAAGCTCTTTTTTATACACCTGATCATTTTACGCAATAACATCTTGTAAATCTTATACATTTTTAATTTAGTCATTCCAATTCAGGCAGAAGCTAAGTACGTAGGATAAATGATGTTTTAATACTGCTTCACCCAGTGAGAGTTTAGCGGTCTCTCTGCAAGCTGGGTTAGATAATCACTCTCAACCGAGCCTGTGGGAGGGAGAAGTGTAAATGGGCACCCCTCTGAACTCTAGCAGATGTGGAGCCGGAGCTGGTGCATTTGCTCTTTTTAAGTATTTTTTATGTTCTTTTTATTTTTGCATCTTTTTCTCGCCCTCCACCTGATCGCCTAAAGGAGCTGAATGGTTTATTTAAGATGCGCATTCCGGGGTTCTTCTTTTGTACATTTCCAGCTATTTCTCTGCTGAGTTGCAAACAATGAGCCATTACCTAACCTACAGTGTGTGGCCTGGTGACAAATGGTTGTCTCAGCTCTGTTAACGCCTGCAGCCCCAAGCTTAGAAATTAATTCTTAACCACCACCTCCCTCAATACTCGCTCTAACCTTTAAGCACACATTTGATAATGAATGACGTTAAAACCGTAGACCGTGGATGGGGAATTTGAGTCTTTTACTGCAAAATGTGCTTGGCTCGTTCACAACTTTGACAGCTTCTCTTTTGTTCCTGCTGGTGTTGTAAAATCTCACACTGGCAGTGCAGTAGTGCAATTTATTTAAAGCTGGGTTTTCAAACTTTTACTGCATTTAATTCTCTACAAACATCCCTGTATTTTTCTCTCTTTTTTAATACATCCAAAAGAAGTTTTGTTTTGTTCATACTGAAGGAAAGTTTCCTGTTCTCTAAATGTCAACCTTTCAAAGCAAGAGTGTTAACCAGCAAATGTGCACCAGAGTTGTAGCTAAATCTGGAAGCATCACTCCAAGGATTGCTGCAGGTTCCTAACAGTCCATTTCTATGGTTGATGGGGTCTGTAGATGTAGTATCAGTGGTCGAGCGAAAAGACAGATGTTGGAGAACTCTATACTGTCTCCTCTCTCTCAGAGATGTGTTTGCTGGGGAAAACAGGTCCCCGTGGACTCTAAGTTTATCTTCCATCTCCATCATCAGTGCCTGTGATTTGACAGGCTCCCGTTTTCCCGGGCGCTGCCTCGTCTCCAGGACAATAAGCAGCACCATGTCTGATTAGTTTCAGAGTTCAGTGGTCTTGAACGCAGCATTTGTATCGGTTGTTGCTGCGTTGTAACCCCCGTCTGTTTGACAACGGTTGCTCAGGCGCTGAGAAAACAGAAGCAAACTGCAGTATACGCAGGGAGGTATCAAATGCATTGTAGCTGGGTTTGACCCGGGCCTCTTTGAATCAGAAAACCTGCCTGCCGCCCACCTGTGTGTGTGTGTGTGTTGTTCATCCATTAACTTTTGGAGTACAACTCAAGAGAGTGACTGCCATTATTCAAAACAAGTACACACAAAAAAGAAATGGCGCCAACTCTTGTCAGTTTCACAAAAACTGATGTAAGATTTGATAATGTAGCAGCTGAGTTATTCTGAGTGCTAGCACATCTGGCAACATTGCATGAGATTGTGCATGACATTATTTAGAAGGTTTGACAAAAACAGCTGCAATTCTGTCATTTATCAAGATGGGATTGTCTTAGTTTAAAACTATTAAACATAACATAAAAGGTAGAAACCAGTCATGGTCTTGAGTTTTATCTGAGCATGGATACATGTTTAAGTTGTCACACATTGGTATATTTTGCATTCAAGCTAGTTATACCTTGGCGTATTGTCTCGTATCAAGTAGTATTTTTCTTTCAGGTACATGTGCTCATGTCAACTGAAGGGGAACTGGACTTTTGAAAGCTGTTGTAACTTTGAAGAGTTTAACAAAGTACACATTGGTTATAATTAGCTGAGGAGCAGAGCTGAGCACCAGGGATTTGCCATAAATATGACATACTTGGATTGGGCACGTGACATAGTTTCAGTCCACCCAATTAAATGCAAAGCAGACTCGTTAGAACATTTCTGTTCGTGCCAGAAAGTCAAAGCCACTATTTTTTAATGATCTTTTCACATGTTAGAAATGACATTTGTCCAAGATGATGAAAGATCCATGTTAGAGCTATTAAAGTAGAAGGGATTTGGAGAACCTGCTGCAGAACTATCAGTTGCATTCACTGATCCTCTTGTTTTACGTTCTGAAGGCTGGCAGTGTTGTACCCCAACTGCTTCAATACAACAGCCTTTGACTTAATGAGGAACTGCAACACACAGTCCTGTTGTAAAACAACAAAGATGAGGGAAGCAGCTAATGAGGCTATCATGGTGTCGGAAAAGAGCCATCTCAGGCCCCAGCAAACAGAGCGGGCTCTGCAGCGTGGCAGCGTGGAGCGACCGGAGACAGAGCTCACATTGATTGCATAGGTTTAAGAGGCAGAGCCGGACGAAATGAATGATGCCAAGACTCATCAACCAAATTAGATCAAAGTGTAGCGTTCTGAACTGTCTTCAAGCCAATTGTTTGGTTATTTGTGGGAGTGATTTTTCTGCGAGAAAGCAGCCGTGAGATTGCACTGTTTGTTTTCCCCAAAAAACCTCGGGGAAATGTTTTATGCATTTGAGCTTGATTGATCAGGCGCGATGTGTTGTTGCAACATTTCACTGGTGTATGTTTACGCTCAGCTGAATGAATCACTGCTGGGTGCATATGAGATTATTATTATAAGCTATGTAAATGAACAAATCAAATACTAAAGACTTCTTTTCTGTTTAGTATTCATGTAAAACTTCTGGTTTTAAGTGTCTTGAAGATAAGATAGCATAAACACTAACTTATGAGGCGCCTCGTCCTTTAAGGTCCTTTTAATTTATATCTATTTCATCATCAGATGTTTTTTTTTCTATCATCTAATTCTGAAAATAACAAATCAAACCATTATTAATTTGAAACAATTAAACCTTCCATTTCACCATTCATACGTGTGACTGGCGTAAATGTATACAGAACGTGTGGTGTTGTATGTCTGCATCCTATCAAGATTTTTTCTTTTTTTTTTTTCACCTGCCAGACTCTCATCCGTCATATCAGCCTTCCATGTGTGTAAAGCGGGAGCCCCATGAGGCATCCTTTGCCCCCTTCACCCCCTCCTCTGTTGGGGATTCTGCTCTAGCTGACATCTTGCCCCACCAGTCCTGCCTCTCTGTAGATGCCTCTGCTCCCAGCTTCCTTCCCCATGCCCACGGCCCCTGCTACAGCCAGTATGCCAGCCAGCCTTTTATAGCAGGTACTACTTTTACCTACAAGGCCCAATAGTCAAAACAAAACAAAACAAAAATCAATCATTTCATTATGCTCATCTGATTTACCTCTTGTTTTATTTTTACCCCTTTTTACCACCTCTCTCGCTGCTTTCATGGCTCTACTGTTGTGTATACAGGAGCTAAACTGACTCTTCAGCCCTAATTAACAGCAACTACTCCTTTTGTTTCCTCTTCTCCCCATCTGACCCCTTGCTCATCTCTTGAGCAGAAGACTTTCCAATGCATCAGGCATCTTGACAACCTCAAAGTCTAAGGGGCCAGAGGAGGTCCTAAGAGAGGGAGGGTGTAAAAACCAGAGATGCTGATGCAGGGGCCTGCTTACGAACCCATGGCATCTAGTTCTGTGCCCCCCTACCCGCCCCCACCACCTCCCTCCAACTCTAACAAGACCTGAAGCTGTCACTGTTAATTAAAAGTCTGATCAGAAAGCACTCGCATTGGCCCCACACTCCTGTCAGGTTTAGCGGCTTAGGATATAAGTTAATAACTGATACATTGTTCCAGTCTCTGATTAGATAATCAATGCAAATAACTTCCCTCCAAATTACTCGCAAACTACCCTGTGAGGGAAAACAATTGCAAAATGTCATTGTCAGACACAGTCGCGCTGCTTTTTATTACCACTGAATATATTTGTTATCTTGGTCTTTTTTCCCCCATGTTTGTATGTGTGTAAAAACAAGTCATTTATGCAATAAGCATAACACAAAGTAGTATTGTCACCAGATACATTACATGAGCACAATTATTTAGAAAAATGGTTTATATAAAATAAGCTTTATTCATATTGCTTCATTTAATGTCAAATTGTCTTTCTTTTAAAAAAGAATGTGTAAAAGAATATTTCAGCTGCATTAGGAGGTATTTTTGTCACACTCAGCGTTATTTCCAGCAGGACTGATATACGTTAAATTCAGGTCCAAAACAACTTTCAACAATGATGATTTTCTTTTGTCTCAATGTTTTACGTGATATAAACTAAAAGATGTGAAAAAGCTTTTCTTTTTTGGGCTGATGTACTGTCCAAGACAAAACAAATCAACACTGATTTTAAGCACAAGACACAACAAATTCATTTAGGTTATTAATACGTTAATTATGAGTTTGTAAAACTTCTTAAAGCAATAGCAATCAACTATAATGCAGTTATAATTTACAAAATGGCAGACTTACTGTTTGGCAAGGTCAGCTGCTGTAGTTTTATATTTATTCATAATTAACTTAGATTTTAGATATTAAATGTTTGAGTTTTTACCAGTTTCATTAATAAGTGGTAATGCTTTACAAGGTGGTTGCAAACTCTCAAATAACACATTTATAAAGCATCAATAATCTCATTATAAAGAAGAAATTGTTGGGAAGGGGTACCATATGTTTCTTTAACTTTGATAAATGTCCCTTTTGTTTTACTTGTTCTTAAAGTTTAAAATGCGAACTCTGACCTGCAGTCTGCTTTAATTTAAGTGAAAAAATATTTGTTTTTTCATAAATCTGCTTCCTAGTAATGCAAAGTGTGGCTTTCTGTGTGTTTGTGTGCCTGCAGGTCGAGACATGGCCAGCACCACCTTACCTGGTTACCCACCTCATGTCCCCCCCACAGGACAAGGCAGCTACCCCACCTCCACACTCGCTGGAATGGTTCCTGGTAAGTCTGTTCTTTTTTTTTTTTAAAATCCTTTAGTATTCTTCAGGTAATCATCATAGTTGAGGTATACTAACAAAAAAAAAAACGTGAAATACAACAGCGGCGGCAAAAGCACCTTCAAACAATCGCTCCTGGATTGAAGTGAGCTCGTTATAGCTTTATAAGACTGCGGTTAGCGTGCGGTTAGCGTCAGTGGATGAGAACATTAGATGAACTCGATACGCGATCACCACAATCAGTGGCCGTGAGATAGGACAGTTCCTCTCAGTTACACTCCAGCTCCCAGCGCTCATTACCCTCGCCGTGTCCACACAGAGCACTCTCACTAGCCCCGTCGATAAACACCGCTTTCTGCTCCTCTCCTCTCCTCCCCGGACACCCAGGGCTACAGAGCGTATCTCTTTCCCCTCTACTTAACCTGCAGTTCAGGTTCACAGCAAACAGTTAAGGGTCAAAACACAGAGGCGTGGAGGGCCTGTAAATATTTAAATCACTATCTCTCTCAGGGATGAGCTTGAGTTACACGACCAGCGGTGAGGATGCTGTAGCTGCCAGCGTGTGTAAATCTGTCCTCCAAACAACTGAAAACACAACTCCTGCTATTGTTTAAAAGGCATGTACCCCCTCACACTGACCAGTGATCAAAGAAACCCTGTGGCGTTTTATGAGTCAGCACCGCAAGGAAAATTTCTTTGCAGGTTACATCATGCATCCAGAAACATTGACATAAAAACAGAGAAAACTCACAAACACCTTTATCCATGATTAGATTTATAGTTTGGTCTGAAACATAGTCAAAGCAAAAATCGTTTATCAGCAGCCTGATATAAAACCCAGACTTTATAGACTCATAAAAGAAAGAAACTTGTGGACCTCACAGCATTGCTTTCTGAGCCCCTCCCACTTCTTCCTCTATGAAGATTAGAAAAATAATTCTTTAAAAATGTTGCTGTATTTTTCACATAGAAAATATATATTTTTTTTACAGTACAATTTTAGATTTTCCTGTTTATGTTTAATGTATCCTCATTTATTTTCTAGGAGGAGACTTTTCTGGAAACCCTTATTCTCATCCACAATACACAACCTACAATGAAGCTTGGCGGTTCAGTAATCCAGCATTACTAAGTAAGTTCATTTAGATGTGTTTTCAATCATTTAAAACCAAAATTAGGAACCTCCTATAGAGCACCAAGTGTAAAATAAAATGTAAAGTAAAAAAGGTCACTGACATGTTTTTGTTATTTAGCTCACTTTCGGAGGGTAAAATCCTAGTTAAATAAATTTCTACTGACATTTTTTTATTTAGCTCGCTGTTCTTACATTTTGTAATTTTTAAATAAACAATACATTTAAATGTTAAATATTCAAATATTAAACCCTAAATCTAAATGATCAAATCTATATGTAAAGATGATAAAACTTGCATTTAAGTATTTTGGAAATGTCTGCGGCTTTTGTTGTGATGTCATTATCCTGCGACAAAACCTATTGCTAACTCTGCTAAAGATGGCATTTAAATTTTTAATTCAAAAAGTGTTTTGTTGAATATAGCGTGATTGGTCAGAGAGTTTGAAGTACAGCTCTGACACTGGCCACAACTCCAAGTTTGATGTCTTGTAAGGAATTGTTTGCATCATTAGCAGCATTAGCAGTGTTAGCATCATTAGCAGATTTTGCGGTTGCTTTTGTCGCAGGGTGATGATGACATTTTAACAAGATCTGAGCACCAACATCAAAGGCTGGTTACATTCTTAAATACTTAAATAGAAAACTTTAACATTAAACCACAACCTTTACATTTGAACTTTTACATTTAGATTTGCACATTTAAATTTTGGATTGCTTATTTACATGTATTTTGTAACATTTAAATTTAACATTTGGTCAAACTTGGCAACGTGTAAGAACAGTGAGCTAAATTATGAAAATGTGTTATTTTTACACTTGGCACCCCATAACTTCCAGCCTCTGAACACCTTAGTCATCTTGTGTTAATGTCTGATCTCGTGATTTCCAACGGCTCGTTCTTCTGTTAACTTTCAGGTTCCCCTTATTATTATAGTGCCGCATCCCGTGGCTCCGCACCTCCCACTGCTGCCACTGCCTACGACCGCCACTAGTTACCCCGGAGACCAGCTCAAAATGCAGAACCAGAGCTTCGGCCTCCATATTGTCCCTGTCTGAGAAACACACTGACGTCAAAAAGGGAAGCGAGTTGGACTTCCAAATGATCCTCCCCCCATCCCCTCCCCTCACCGTCATCTTATGTGATATGGAGGAAAGGATGGGCGAGACTGGAGACTGATGCGTCCAGCTTCAGCGCACCACATTTTGGGTCAGAGGGATACCCAATGGCATTCGGAGGCTCACCTATCAAGTTCCTCGTTCTCTCGTAGGCCTGAACTTTTCCAGAATGACTTTAAGAGATTCTATAAATATATATATTATAAGATATAAATTGGAGAAAAACCTGTGTGAAGAACATCGTGGAAATAAAATGTTGTGGGTTTTTATTTTTATTTTTATTTTTTGTTCCTTTGTTGCTGTTGTTGCTGTTGTTGTTTTCATTCACGGGATCTTCACATTCCTTTATGTAACGAGCCGCAGTATTTTTTCTGCTCTAAAGAGAAAAGTCCAGGGGAGATTATTGCGGTCCCACAGCTCGATAAAATAGCGACTCGAGGCAGTGTTTTGGGTCCGCCTCTAACACTTAAAGAGATGATGGCTTCACACTGTAGCACAAGCCTTCCTGTCAGATGCTTTGACAACTTCTCCTGTCCATCAGCTAGAGCACCCTTCAGTGTTTATTAACCCTTCATACCAGGAGCAGCAGCACATGTGTGGCAACCAATCAGATGTAAAAATGTAAATCATTTTGCAAAGTATTAAAATGTGGCAACCATTAAATTTAAAGGGTTTTGCTAGAATTTGAAATATGTCAAGTATTGTTTTTTTTTTTTTTTTTTTTTTTTTGCAAACAAACAAAATTATAATACATTATTTGGAATCTCATATTTTCTGTCTTTGCTCATTTTTTGTACTAAGACAATGGCTTGCCCTACCACTCCCACCCTTTAATTTTTATTTTTTAGTATATTCATTCAAACATTAAGAACACATTTTAGTTGTCTTGGTGGAAAAACACTAACAGTGATTCCTATAGTATTTATGTAAAATACAAGCCATACTGCTTTAGCCATGATCAAACGCTCCAAATTCAAATCCACTTTATTCGGCTACTTGGTCAAATAAGTATGTGGGAAGTGGGGGTGCTGAGGGCACAGCTTCAGCCACAGGAAAAGCACATTCAAAAACATTGTTTAAAAAAACTGAAAAACAGAACAAAACCTGATTTTATTAATGTTTACACATTTTATCTTAATATGATTAAGTTTTGTAAATCTGATAAATAAATCAGCACAAACACATGCTCCAAGCGCCCCTCAACTACTATAGTGATGTAGTAAAAAAATAAAAATAAAAAAAACAGAAGCCTGCAAGTTTTAAAAATTTGTTGTACAACCAAACTTTAAATTACGCTCAACAAATGCTTTACAAACCAGTTTCCTAAATTTATAAGTTCAACACATGCCTTTAAATTATTCCTATTCTCCTCCCTCCATGAGGTAACTCTCCACAGGGCCTGAAAAAATATACTGCTTCATTTTGCATTCTGGAAAATATTTTGTGAATGTACTCCTTACAACATTTGCCAAAGACTTAGTTTGCTATTTAATATTTTATTTACAGTAAATGTATGCATTATTAAATCAGTATTATCTTCTTACACTGCAAAAACTGTCCATCTTACCAAGTTTTAAAATCTTACATCCAGCCAAAAAGTTTTTTTGATCTTGTTTTGAGACTGATTTACTAAACAAGAACTGATTGTGTAAGAATAATATTCTGGTTTTCAGAATGTGTAAGATTATTTGTCTTGTTAGCCTGAAAATTTGACTCAAATTAAGTCAACATTTTCTGCCAATGGAGTAAGAAAATATTACTTGGTAATTTTCTTGAAATAAGAAAAAACTGAGTCAAATCAAGTATTTCAAGAATCTTACAAAGTAAAATTTTTTTACTCCATTGGCAGAAATTTTGACTTAATTTAAGTCAAAATTTCAGACTAACAAGACAAATAATCTTACACGTTCTGAAACCAAGATTATTATTCTTACACAGTCAGTTCTTGTTTAGTAGATCAGTCTCAAAACAAGAAAAAAATACTTTTTGGTTGGATATAAGATTTTAAAACTTGGTAAGATGGACAGTTTTGCAGTGTACACAAGTCGAGACGGAATGTGTGCGTCAGGATTTCTCACCAGGTGATGACTGTAACAAAAAAAGGTCAAATTCAGTGGCTCAATATTCCAACAACAAAGTGCTGCTTTTTAGGATAATTTGTGAATAATGTGAAGACAATTCTTCTGTGTAAATATAATGTCATGACCACTACAGTATCATTGCTAACGTGCTGACTCCCTTTGTAGATACAGACTGAAAGGAAAAAAAAATCATGCATTACATTTGTGTCTTAATGTAACGTGCGCTGATGAAAGGTACAACTGCTGTATAACCTATGGCTATGTCAGGTTTCAGATGCTAACATCACATGGGTTGTCTGTGTCACTTTGTTTTGCTTTGATGAATATTTGTTGTCCTGATATTGTTTTCTGTCACTATGCAATGAGTTTAATGGATTTCTGAACTACGTTTTATGGCTGGGCTCGGAATAACAAATCTCCATGGAGAACAGGATAAAAGTTAAAAGGGATGGTCCAGATCTTTTGAAGTTGGGTTCTAGTAAAAGGTTATGAACAACTAATATCTTACCTGTTGTAGATAGCTTTTGGAACAATCCAAGTTTAGAGAAATCTAGTTTATTCTGTATGACTTGACAAGTCAGCGATTAGCCTAAGTGTGGCCATGACCAGAAGTGGATTACCATCATCTTAAAACACCATTAAAATCCAAAGTGCCATGATGGTTTATGTAGAGGCTATTTTTAAAACCTTTACACCAATTACAGATCAGTACATAAGTTCTTAAACTAGTGTGAACCATTGTGAAATTTTAGAGACATGGTGTTTGAAAGATGTTGGGGTGTCCACCGAATTAGCTGTTAGCTCAGTTCATTAGGAATGAAACTGTTTTTCTCCAAGTGAGGTTATTTTAAGCGCTATCTGCACCAGGTAAGATATTAATTTGTCTCTTTTTTCACAGAACCACACTTTAAAAGATCCGAGATATTTTTTCAAAAAAAGTCCAAAAGACCTGTTTTTTTTTGTTTGTTTGTTTCTTCAGTTTTGCCTCCTAACACTAATTAATGATAACATTCAGAAATGTCGTCCTGTTTGCGTTTTTGTTCATCTTTAATTGGATGATCATCACCTCCTGTGTACAGAAACTCAAACTGCACCATCCCTCCGCTTTTTTGTACTGGTACACAATGTTTAGCATCGGTTTTCTCTCACAAGCCAATATGTTGTCAGGGTTGTGTGTCATTGCTGAGAGAGAACCAGAAAACAAGGAAACAGGCAGTGGTCCTGCTCTCCATGAGAAGCTATCTTTCTACAAATTGCACTTGGGATTACTGTCCATGTTGCAGTTTCGACATATCTGAAAATGATCCACGGTACAGTGCGGTGTAGCGTGTGAAGAGTCAGGCAAACTTTTTTTTTTTTTTTGCTTTAGGAAGTGGAGCACCTCTGCTGGGTCTTCCTGCTGTTGTAAAGATGATGCAGGAGACGTGTCACAGACATTAAACGGATTTCTGATGAAAATCTATAAGGAAAGCCTTGTGGCCTCAATCATTGTTCTTTTTTTTTCTGTTCTATTCCAATTCCTTTTTTGTGCACATGAGAAATAAATTTTTTTATATGTCTGTTGTTGACTTGATGTCCCCTCATTATTAACCCCATAAGAAAATGATTCAGAGTACAAGGTTGTTGAGGAGCATCTCTTCTCCTGCTGTATTGATGTTTGGGTTTATGAACAGTCGGTACAACACACAGTACACATGGATTATAGCTGTAAAATTTGACATACATGACCATACTGTTTGAGTGAATTTGTGTGTGGCTGTTGTAGGAATTTAAATTAACAGTAATATGTCGTAAATAGAACAATGGTTTTAATTATTGTGCGTGTGAATATGTGCGTACAGAGCTGATAGAAGAGAGTTAAACAAAGAGGCAGGTCAGTCAGCAGCAGAGCATTGGCCCAACTTTCAGGCTTCTGGTATATTTAATGATGCATTGTTTCATCCATCTATACCACACGGCTGCTGCCTCACTTAGACTCTGCACTTCCAAATGCAGCCAGTTGTAATTCAATTTCTCTGCTTCCTCTGCCTATTGTTTATTTCATGGATCCCCTGTGAAGCATCAAAAGCTGCTGTTTCTGTCAGCACCTAACTGTCCTATGTGTTTGTCATTCAGAGCTTGTTAAAAGATAAAACACACACACACACACTTTCACACACACACACACACACA